GGCACTATACCAGAGCCCTCACATTCCAGACAAGAAGCATTCTCAACAAGCTCTCAATTAAAGGGGCACAGCCCTTAATCAGGGGTCCCTGTAACTTTGGTTCTCTTTATCTAATCCTCATTCTTTGTTTTCTCTATGTGCCTTTCTCTCTTACTTCCTTACGCTTTCTCATATTAGCCTTTTGTTATGCTCTAGCTATTTCATTCAATTTCTTATCTATTCCAACTTCTATGTGAGGGTGAGTGGATGGGGTGCACCATTTATTCTTCTAGACCCACCTACCACTACCACCCACAAACGTAAACCCCCACTTACAGCCCCTTCGCCGTTGCAGCCTGCTGCTACTGCTGCTGTGTGGAATCCAGATCTTCTGTAACCTGGTTTGAGTGAGCTCTCCCATCTCTTGAGACATCTTAGACGTTGCAATTAATGATACCACTGTCCACAAGGTATTGGACCTCACTTCCTATATTCCTAGCTGTTCTTTTTGTTGCCGTGGCCACAGCAGCAAATAAGCAGGGCTGAAACAGAGGGATGCACTGGGCTTCTGAGTCTCTCACAAACGATCTCCAGCTCCCTCTTTTCCTTCTGCTCCTGTATATACAAGTGGGAACGTGGATGCTGAGAGCCAGGGGCCAGGCAGAAGTCAGCAGAGGCCTCTGAAATCCACAGGCTATGTACATAAAAGATAAGTTGGAGCCCAGCAAGGAAGGCAGCCAGCGAGACAGCCCAGATCTGGCCAGTTACTTCCCGCCAATGAAGGCAGGACTAGTAGAGTATGCAAATAAAAGACCAAAGATCATGTGCTTACATCCTATGTTGTGTGGCATGGCAAAGGTGATGGAGATAGGTCTAAGCTTTGAAATAAAAAAAAAAAAAAACAGGTCTAATTAGAGTGTTAAGCTCCAACTCAGAAACAGATTCACAACAAAATTACATGGCCCCCCAAAACAAAAACACAAACAATGTTTCTAATCCAAAATGCAATGTTTTGAGCTAGCAATAAAAGGCCCAAACTGGAAGAAGACTTTCACTACCTCACTGGTCACCCGATTCAACAAGGCATTGCAAAACTGTCTTTCCCTGGAGTCTGCTGCCTGCTTCTCCATGGGATCTCTCCCTCTTAAAATGAGCTCTCTTGGGTACTACAAAGAGATTGGCACTATCTGATCATCTTTATACTCTTTCCAGCCAAGGTTAAATAAATCAGAGTAAATCTGACACCTTTGGAATAGGAGTGAGTTGCAGCCATTGCTGGGCAGAGAGCCGATAAGTAAGCGCAGCTCACATGGCTGCCAAAGCTATGAGATGACCCAGCAATAAAAGTATCACAATCTAATCCAACCCCCCGGCTAAAGCTCTTCAAGCCAAGGTTTTGGGATGGGGGCTTAGGAGAGAGGAAACTGCACTGAGGATAGCATGAGGAACAAGCGGCAATGACCTCTATGTAAACAGCACAAATCTACAGGGCTATCTCTTCCACATGTCTCCCGTTCACTTGGCCCCACTCTTCTTGCCATCCCCTGGTTATTTTGAGACTTATCTGTAGAATTCATGCAACTACGCAGCTTGCCTGGAAGATGTCCAAGTGCCCTTTTACTTCATTCTTTGTAACCTTCCCACCCCCAAGAGTCCTCCAGTGATTGGGTATTAGGAAGCTCAAATTTCTTCCATAAAGCTGGACTACAGAAGGACGACCTCTTGGGAAAAGAAATCTCCAGCCCCTGCTCTCAAATGCTCCCAGCTCTACTTTGTCTTTGAAGAAGCTTCCTAAAAATATTTCCTCAGAACCTTAGTCTATACAAGGGTTAGTCACTCCAGTTGCTGTGCATTCATCATATAAGACTTTTAACATCAAAGCCTACCTATCTCAACAAGCCTACTGAAACAATGGTTCAGAGCAATTGAGAACAATGTAATGTGGAGCCACACTGTCTGGGTGGAATCTCACTTCTACCCATTGCTGGATCTGAGAAATCAAGAAGTAGAAGACTTAACTTTTCAGTGTCTCAATTGTTTTCTGTTTTGTTTTGCTTTTTCATTTGGTATATAGGAATGATAGCAGTGACCATTCCCTCAGTGTTAGTGAAGATCCAAGCTGTACTGACACACGTGGAGAAACCTGGGGAATACTGAATATATATTATTCAACATTTGTTTTCTTTGTGAATTCATCTTTTTTCCCAAGTTATTTGTAAGTTCTATCATGAGATTATGACACAGGATTAACATTTATACTGTAGAGTTCCTGAGAATCAATTAGAAAAGGAAAACTCATTTCAGTAAATGGTTCATCTTTTCCCCCAAGGAATGTGTAAGTTTTTCATGAGATTATGACACAGGATTAACATTTATACTGTAGAGTTCCTGAGAACCAGTTTGAATAGGTAAACTCATTTCCAGGTTTCTGCTAACTAAGTCGGGCATAAAATTTCAAATACTACATGCTCTCACTTATTTGCCAAACGGAAAAGATGTTGATAAAAAACTGAGTACAGACTAGTGGGAAAAGGGAGGGAGAGAGAGAGAGAGAGAACAACAAACAGACATGTATTCTGGTAAATTGGAGGAATGACTTCTGATGTTCTGGAGCACATTAGGATAATTATGGTTGACAATAGATAACTATATACTTCGAAGGAGCTGACAGAGGATAAATAATAAATATTTGAGGTGATACAGACACCAATTAATCATTGTACATTATATGCATGCATTGAAAAATCATACAGTATCACACAAGTATGAACAATTATATATCAATTCAAAGTAAAAAAAAAATAGCTAGGTCTTCCACATTAGTAGAGGGCTCCTAGATTCACAGAAACAGATGCAAGTCTTTTAATCCCAATAAGTCACATAACTAGTGTAAGTCTGTTTTAATGATCTCACCATGACTTTGTGTTTTCTGATGCCCACAAAGCATCGTTTCATTTATTTTATTTGCTCCTTTCAAACATCCACAGTAAAACACGAGGAAATGGGTTTGAGAAGGGGATGGCTTGTCCAAGGTTATCTAGCCAATCATACGAACATATCTTTTATGTTTACAATTTTTTGTCCTTACAACACTGCCATGCATCAGGAAGATAATTTTAGTAGCAAGAAATCTGAGCTAGGTAGCTGGAAGGCCTCTGACAAAGTCTGAATGGGTAAAACTCAGGGCCCAGGTTTGACAACCTAATTTAAACCTTCCTGCAATTATAAAACTCTTCACCACTGTTAAAAATTTTGAGCCTATAAAACAAAACCAAAAACAAGCCTTATAGAAATTCCTCAGCGTAGCATTCAAGCCTCATCTAAATCAAGTTCCAAGCTATCTATCAGACTTCTATCCTGCAGACCCCCATGGTTAACTGCATTGGCTAATTCACAGGGGTCCCCAAACACAGCATTTTCTGTCTTTAGGCTTTTGCACAGCCTGGGGTGTCTTCTAGTCTCACTGAACTCTGTCTTGTCCATAAAGACAAGTTTTAGTGCTTACTGTCTCTGAAAGTCAGCCTTGCAGCCTTGAGAGAAGATTTGCCTCTGGTTCTCATGTTGCCCATGTACCTCTATGTGAGCAACAATTTCTAGGTCTGCTATCTAACTAGATGCTTATGGCTCCTTGAGGATGTTCACAATCTACATTTCTCGGCTGCAGATGAGATAAACAAGGTGACAAGAAATCCTAGTTCACCCTGGTAGATATTGTAACAGCTTTCAGGGAAATGGATGGGGGAGCTGCTTTGTCTGAAGTAAATACTGTCATCTAAAAAAAAAAAAAAAGGTTTTAAAACTTTGGGATGGAACAGCATAAATAAAATGATGAAATTCTCCATAGTAAGTTTTAATATATTGGTTATAAATACAGGGTTCAATCAGCATCAGATTCACACTCAAGGCTAAAAGCTGAACCATAAGTTTTAAAGCGGGACTATCGCTAGGGAAGAAAACTATGCAGTGACTTTTGGAGAGCCATAGAGCCTGCTCTCCCCTCCAAGTACAGAGTATGGAGAAAAAGCTCATCTAAAGCACCAAGACAGTACAAATGGGCAACAAACTAATTAAAGTGGTCTCCTTAATGTTAAGTCTTGAAATGTGTGGTTTGTAAATGCATTTGTTACAGGCTAGGCAGCTGATGGATGGCTGACCACATGCTTGCAGGCTTTTCATGTATGAGCACATATCAGGACTTCTGTGACAGCAGCCAATAATCCCTTTGTTCTCAGCTACTGCCCTGGCCCATTATTCAACTATTTTCAGACTCCTGTCCAGTCCACAAAGCTCACTGCATTCTAGTCATAGGAGTGGCTCTCCACCGACCATAGTCAGTCAGGAAGGAGAGCATGTAGAAAGTTGTGGGTGGTACTACCTGGGGATGCCACATAAAGCCAATAGCACAAATCTCAGATACAGCATGAAAGTCCTAAAGCAAAAGAGCTCTGGATTCTGCCTTCTGCCCTTTCTTGATCATCAGGCCAGTCCTCTGTGGGAAGTAGGCTAGGGGCTTTAATTTCTATTTTACTAAGTTGTCTATTGACAGCCAGAGAAACTAAAGAACTTGTCAAAGTGTCATAGAAAATTAATCTGACTTTATACATTAGAGGAGAGGTCAGAGATACACTCTCTATTCTTCATTTAATTTAAAAATATACTACGTAGCTGGAAGCTATGCTGGGAGGAAAACGAAATCACAGCCATTCTGGGCTACACAGAAAGTTCAAGGCCCACTTGGGAAAGATAGTAAGACTCAGTCTCCAAAATGAGATAAAATAAAATGAAAATTGGAATTTCAAAGATAGTAGGAGATTGACCTTTAGCCAGTGTCCTAAAAATCAAGTACAACTGAATTTGAAAATACTGATGGATGGATTACATATATATATTATGTATCATTTCCCAGCTCTCCCATACACTCTAACATCAAACTCCAATGCAAAGAAAACTTTCTAAAGAGCCTGAAGCCAGGATTTGTGACCTGTAAAACACCTGTCTACTTTTCCTTTTTGCTCACCTACCTGTTCTCTTAGAGGCTTTTTCTTCCATCGCCTTTTATCCAATGGTTCCCCTGCATTTACAGACCCCCAAAGCAGATCCAGTGGGTGGCATCAAATAGGAAACCCAGAGACATCCGTTGGTTCCTGAGAAGGCTGAGGAAGCGCCCTTGGTAAGGGGTGTGTGCAGTGTTGAAATATTAGCTGCTGTAGTTGGCAAAGAAGTTCCTGAGCCACCGGGAGTCTTTTCTCTTCAGTCCAACCATGTGTTCACCTTGCCCCAAAGGTCAGTACTAATATTAACAAGCCACTGGAGAATGGAGAAATTAAAACCAGCTATTGAGGCGAGCAAGATCTGGATTTCCTTGGGGCTAAGCATCATATCTGACTTTAGTGCAGTGTGGGCAAAATTCTGTGCTTAAAAGCAATCTGGCAACAGGAAGAAAACTGTTCCTTTCCCTTGTCCTAATTAACCCACTCCTGGGATTCAATCCTTAGCCAGTAACTCCCAAAGCATGAGAAGGCTTAGGGCACAAAATTTTAATTACAGATCTATTTTCTGATGGCAATCACTAATAATCTCTAAGTCCTCTGGGGGTGGGGGAGCAGCCCACTGTGACTCTGCAGCCACTGATGATGATGGCTCAAAGGCTGTGAAAATCTGAGGGGCAGGGTGTTTGAGTGTGAATAACTCTGTAGCAATTTCCAGTGAAAAACCTTAAAGGACGCAAAGTTATAATTTTCCCTAGAAATTGGGCAATGTCTGTTAATTCTGTTTCTGTGATCTTAAAAATAAGTCAAGAACCCATTGCTACTGCTCTGATTATTCATCTGTCTGCTGAATATTTATTATATATGCTGTGCTAGAGATGATGGCAACTGCATTCAGGCTGTTGGCAGTCTATCGACAAAAGAAACCAATGGGAGTTGGCCATTGTGGTAAACGTTGTTACAGAACGGACCACAGAGTGCAGTGGTGCCCACAGGAAAAGACCTAAACAGAGAAGTGTGTGGAAAGAAGAAGCAATGGTTTACCTGATTAAGAAGGATTTAAATCTTGGCTCTCTCACTTCTGTGAGGCTGAGACGAATGTACTCAACTGCTACTTAGCTTCAGTGCCTCTTCCTGGTTTATCCTAAGAATGAAATGCCACGGTGTAGACAGGAAAAACCACAGCTGCATCGGGAGACAATACTATTCTGGAGTTTAAATGTTCTAGGCCTCGATTTTGCTCATCTGAGAAATGGAGCCAAATGCCACGTATGTGTTCTGTTTCATCCTTTACATGCTACGAGAGCCAAGACAAATATAAGGGGAGGATTTGAGGTAGTCTCCTGCCTCTAGATTCCATCAAAACGGAAGCCACCCTCCCCAGTCTTATCCTAGTACCTAGGTTCTTAATTGTTCCATTTTTCAACTGAAAAAGTCCCCTTCGCCACTGCCCAAAAGGACTCCAGGGGCAGAGGACCCTCAGTCACCGCCAGGGGCCGCTCACTTACGCCGGAGTTCCGTCTGGATGGGGGGAAGGGCTCTGGCAGAGTTTGTTTCCCAGGAGGCCCGCCCTTTGATAAAGTGACAAAATCCCACTTCTAAGTAACCTGACGCATCAGGGAGACTTTTGTGTAGACAAAAGCAGTCAGACTCTGGCGTCCAGGCTAGGGTGCGGCCAGAAGGGAAGGAGCCCAACCAGAGACGCGCCTCTCACCAGTCACTCTTCCCAGGTTTTGGATTGGGTCCTGCTATGTAGCCCAGGATGGCCTTGAATTCATGACTGAGCCTGCCTCAGTTTCCTGAATACTGGGATTACAAGCTGGTTCGAACAAGCCCAGCTTTCCTACAGCTTCCACCTCAGTTCCGTCTCCCGCCTAAGAGAACCGAACTTGAAGCCCCGCCCTCCGTTACCCGCACTGCGTGCGTCCTGCCGTAGGACGTCGGATGGGGCGGAGGCAACATGAGAGCGCCTGCGCAAACGCGAGAGAAGGCGGGAACCTAGGTCACTTCCGGGCCTCAGTGTTATTTCCCAGCCTAAGCTTGCTTTGGGAGACAGCACAGTTTACCAAAATGTTACGCGTGGTAAGCTGGAACATCAATGGGATCCGGAGTCCCCTGCAAGGGCCTGCATGCCAGGAAACCAGCAACTGTACCGCGACTTTGCGACACATTTTGGACAAGCTGGATGCTGATATTGTCTGTCTCCAGGAGACCAAAGTGACCAGTGAGCACTTGAGAATCCAGAATCTCTACCGTGTTTTTTCTTTTTCTGCTAACTTTCGCTCTCTGTTCCATCTCATTTCGGTTTTCCGTTTTCTCATGGTTTAGTTGCGTATAACCTGCCCTTATACCCACCTAAAAGTCCTGATTCTTTTCCTGTTAAACACCCCCACTGCAGCTTTTTGAGTTCTTAATTCCCACTCCTGTCCTGCTTTCCCTGTTGAAACCCCCTTCTATTGCACCAATTCAGTGCCTTGAAATGTATCATTTCATGTTCTTAAGCCAAACCCTTCAGTTTTCCAGTCCTTTAATTCCTACCTAATCTTTGCTTGTCCTGAACTCAGACTCTTAACTTTTTCCCATAGTCCCAATTCCTCCCTTCTCTTCCACCCCAGACCCTTAGATTCCTCTTTCATGTCGTAACCCAAACTTAGACCTCCTAATTTTTTCTCCTATCACCTCCAGCTCATATTCTCTTTCCCTCTCCTACCTCCTACCCTCACTTCAGATCCCCAGTCTCCAGTACCAGCTTTCTCTGCTTCCTCATTTAATTTGAATATCATTTTCCATTGTGACTTTTCCAGCTTTCTGGCTCCTGTCAACATAAACACCTCTCCACCCAACCCCAACTACAGCTCTGATGTATGCTAGCCTATAACTGTAATTCCATTGTTTCATGGGTCCACAGTTACCTCTAATTTTTTTTTTCAGGAGATGTACTGACAGAGCCCCTGGCTATTGTTGAGGGTTATAACTCCTATTTCAGCTTCAGCCGCAGCCGCAGTGGTTATTCTGGTAAATGGGGTCTTCTTGGGTATTTAAGTTAGTGTTGGTGATGGAGATGAGAAGCAGAAAAGTGCTTTAATAAGAAGGGCAGTTGGAGTGGAACAGGCTGTACAGTTGTAGTGTGTAATTTTTATATTACCTTCTTATTAAATATATTTCAACTTTTCATTTCCAAAGCTAAAGCTGCATAATCTTAGGTTATTAAAAAACCTAATATTTATGTACCAAAGTACCCTTTTGGCCCTCAGAAGTACAGGAGTGTCATGGTTAATTGTGTGAGCTCTGGGGCTTAACTGCTAGGGTTCACATCATGGTTCACTTCCTAGCTGTGTTCTCTGGCAACTTACTTTACCTTTGTGTTTCAAGTTTCTCACCTAGAAAATGAGGACAATGTGCTTACTTTCTAAGCTCTTACAAGAGTTTACACATATTAATGTATATGATGATGATAATAGTTAATATTTTATCAGCATTTGTAATGTATCAGCATTGTAATGTGTACCATGCATTAGTTTTGTTCTTGTAAAATATAACTTTATTCTAGGCCTTTTTTAGATGAAACTGAGGTCTCAGGGTATGGGTTAGTTGTTTCAGACTCTATAGAGCTATGTACAGCTCTTAAATTAGGAAGAATGTTCACATATTTTGAAACAGTTGTATTTAAGGAAGATAACCAAAACTGTTCCTTGAATGGGGACAGTTGGAGTGGAACAGGCTGTACAGTTGTAGTATGTTTGCTGCCAGTCCCATTTAGAATACTCTGTCCCCAGGTGTGTCTACCTTTTGTAAGGACAGTGTTACTCCAGTGGCTGCTGAAGAAGGCCTGAGTGGTGTATTTGCCACCCTGAATGGGAGTATTGGTTGCTATGGAAACATGGATGAGTTCACCCAAGAAGAACTCCGGGTTCTGGATAGTGAGGGCCGGGCCCTCCTTACACAGCACAAGATCTGGTAATAGCCCATATCCTCCTAGTACAGGCCATTACTGGTTCTAGCCTTATGGTCCAGAATATAAGGTCCATCTTATAGGTACGCAATTGTTATAGAAAAATTTCCAAACTTCCCTACCTGGACTGTAGTCCTCGCTGGGCTGAGTGATCCTGGAAAAAGCATGCTTTGTTCTCAGCCTTGCGTTCCCCTCACTACAATGGGAGACTGGCCTGGGAATACAGCTTTTTAATTACCATAGGCTCCTCAAAAGCAGCTTAGCCACCACAGAACTTATTGCCCCAAATTGGTTTCTTTCTGGCAGCATTATCACCCAATTTATCTGAGTACTGTGGCCTCCTTGCCCCACCTAGAATTCATCCCAAGACCTGCTCATGTAGTTCTCCCAGCATCTTTTTCTTCCATCCTGTGGACAACTATTACCTGGAAGCTGCATGGTTTGGGTATGGAAGGGGAAACTTGAAACTGACCTCTTTGGGTATGGGGATGGGGATCCTCTTTTCTCCTCAGCACACTGGAAGGGAAGGACAAAACATTGACCCTAATCAATGTGTACTGCCCGCATGCGGATCCTGGGAAACCTGAGCGGCTGACCTTTAAGATGCGTTTCTGTCGCCTGCTGCAGATTCGAGCAGAAGCACTCCTGGCTGCTGGCAGGTAATGTAAATATAGGCAGCCAGGCTTAGTTGAACTCATCTCGGTGACTGGCCTTGTGATGTACTCTATGAAAGGACATAGAATTTTGTCTTTGAGTTTCAGACACTGTCATGTTGACATGAGCAGACCTTGCTGTCTTAAAAGCTGTGGGGACAGGATAAAGTGACATGAACACAGGGCTTATACCCTCAGCACATATTCTGTCACTTTACTTACTGTGTGCATCAAGGGCAGCTCTGCTCCTTGTTCTCTTTCATCAAATGCCTGTGGGAAACTCTGTAGTAGGTTTTCAAGAACAAAATGTGCGGGGTGGGGGAGGTAAAGTGCTACCTCCAAGGATAGACTGGAAAGTGGGAATAGGTTAGAGTAACGAAGGGGTGTTTCTTCCATAAAGTGGTGTCTGAGCTCGGCTTTGAAGGATGAGAAGGATGGCATTAGGTAGAGAATGTTGGAGCATTTATGTCGTACAGAACAGTGTTGACCTTGTGGCTCAGAATTTGGTTCATTATGTTTGAGAAGCATCCAGAATGGGTCAAGATAGGAGAATGGAAGTGGCACAGTGCTATGAGTAATTGGTAGCAAAGCCTCTAGGTGGGAGGCAGCCTCTCTGTGCTCTTGGGCCTGGAAGAAAAATTTATGGGACTCCTCTCTCTTGAATATGTAGTTGACAATTGCTCATTGTGTTTTTCAGTCATGTTATAATCTTGGGGGACCTGAATATAGCCCACCGACGCATTGATCATTGCGATGCAGGCAGTCTGGTAAGGCTCCCTTTAAACCATAGGCCCCATTCTTGTTCTGTTCACCCAGGGGTAGCTTCTTTTTATGGAAAAATAGTGCTTGCTTTGAATATATGATTTTTTTATTCTGAAATTACTTGTGATAATTGTATATATTTACAGAGTACCACTTAATATTTTGACATGTAAAATGGCCAAATAGGGTAAATTACCTTATTTTCCCCTTAAATAATTCTCTTTTTGTGTGGGCAAACATTTGTAATTTTTTTAACTACCTGGTTTGAAGTATATAATAAATTATTGCAAACTCTTACTATACTATGGAACACTAGGCCTTTTTTTCTCATATCAAACTATTCACATTAACCAGTCACTCTATCCCTTTCTTCCTACCTCTCCTGGCCTCTGGTAGCAACTGTTCTACTCTGCTCCATGAGATCAACTCTTTAGACTTCCATATATGAATGAGATCAAATGGCATCAATCTTTCTAGGCTTGCCTTGTTTTCATGTTTTCCAGTTCAATTCATTTTGCTGCAGATGACAACACAACCAAACAAACAAACAAAAATTATTCTTCTTTCTGGCTAAATATATTATGTTCTGTATGTGTATTATATTTTCTTTATTTGTTTGTTAATAAATATGTAGGTTGCCTGTGTATCTTGGCTCTTGTAAATGATGCTGCAATGAACATGAGTTCAGGTGTTTCTTTGATACACCGATTTCATTTTCTTTACATATATCCCTACAGTGGGTTTTCTGGGTCATGTGATAGTTTTCACTTTAAACTTTTTGAGGACTTTCCATACCGTTTTTTAAAAAGATGGCAATAATTTATATTCCTGCTATCACTGCATGAGAGTTCCCCTTTCTCTGTGTCCTTGTCAGCATTTATTTCTTGTCTTTGATAGAAGTCATCCTAACAAGAGGGAGAGGGAGGTGCTACTTACTGCACTTGGTTTGGTCCACATTTCCCTGATGATTGTGTTAACCATTTCATCCTATACATATTGGCCATTTGTATATCTTTTCTTGAGAAATGTTTATTCAGATTATATGCCCATTTTTTTTTCTTTTTCTCTTTTCTTTATTATTATTATCATTTATTACAATTTATTCAATTTGTATTCCTGCTGTGGCCCCCTCCCTCCTCTCCTCATAATCCCACCCTTCCTCCCTTTATGCCCCTCCTTTAGTCTACTGATAAGGGAGGTCCTTCTCCCCTTCTATTTGACCCTAGCTTATCAGGTCTCTATATGCCCATTTTTTAGACTTATTTTCCTTGTTCAGTTGTTTGAGTTTCTTATATGCTCTCGATGTTATTCCCTGTCAAATGAGTATTTTGAAGATCTTTTCTCCCATTCTATAATTGTCTCTTTACTTTACTGATTGCTTCCTTCATGATGTAGAAGCTTTTGTAAATTTTATATAGTCCTACTGAAATACTGTTTTACAGGAATTTAGATTTGGTCCTTCATTATATATACAGTACTGACCTTATCTTGGCCTGGCCCTGGCCCATGTGCTACAGGATATGTCCAGTCTAGCTCATGGCCTCTAAGCCTTCAGTATATGAATGGAACATAGATACATTGTTGTCCAGTTCTAGAGTGGCATCTTCAGGGCTGAAGTGACATCCCTTGGAAGCTAGAGGAACCCAGAGGTGGAATTTCTAGGCAAGCAAAGACATCAGTCATAGGCCTATGATTAACTAAATCTTTAGAGGTCAGTAGAGCATTTAGGATGTGGGGAACTTCAGGTCTTATTGTTTTTAGAATGTCATGGTAAGGGAGGTAAGTGGCAGGAAGTAGGGCTCAAGAGTCCTTTGTAGCCTGGTGAAGATTTTGAAAACAGCTTTTCTGTTTGCATCTCACCCTTTTACCTTTGTGATGCAGAGAAAGCATTGAGACCGGACATTCAAGGTGCTTCTGGTTAGTGCCCTGTCTCCATTTAGTATCTCTGCTCTCTTTTCACACTAGATAGATAGCACTCCGCTACCCACTGAAGAAAGCTCTTTTCATCCTAACTAACTTTTTTTTTACTCTCTCCCAAATTAGCAGCCATCTCCTCTCTTCCTTTTTCTTAGATGAGCCTCTCATTCTATCTACAACAATGTTTCTTTAACCCTTAAATGTTTATTAGAGCAAACATATCAATACCTTAATACTACACCCAAACAATGGAATTAGAATCTCTTCCGTGTAGCTCCAGGGTGTTGGGTTGTTTGAAAAGACCTATGAGAGGCTTTATTATACACATGAGCTTGAGAACCGCTACCCTAGAATGTATATGAAACTCTTTTATCTTGACCATCCTCATAGAAAGAAGTGTTGTGATAGAAAAGCAAGCTGCCTGCTTTTTTCCTTTGCTCCCAAGCAAGCTTAAAAGGTGTGGGGATTTCTCCTTGCCTCCAAGCTAGCAAGCAGCTCTTCAATTGTGGATATCAGCTAGCTTTCCTGTAATACCTCTCGGTCTTGACATTTCCACCCCAACCATGGTGAGATCCCACATGTTGAGGACTACTTTCCAAGGCTGTCACTTCAGAGCCAGGCACAGTTGGAGCATCCGAGCTGTAAATTGAGGCTCACACAACTCAACCCTTTTGTTCATTTAACTTGCTAGAGCAAAACAAGTACTCAGGCAGCCACTATAACTTATGTCTAATGATTAGCTGAAAAGAATACTTTAAATTATTTAAATAGGCAGTTAGATGGAGAAATATATGCAGAGGAAGGTCTGAAAGGGGCGTTAATGCCAAGCTTCCGTCCTGTGGAGTTGGGGTGGGCCATTCTCCCAACAAATGGATGAATCCTCATTTATCTTCTTGTACCTCTATGTGTTCAGCTGTCCAGAAGCTCTCTGAACCTTATCCTTTGGGTTTTTATGGAGGCTTTACTGCATGAATATAAATGCTGAAAGTGGGATAAGGAAACTCATCAAGGCCTGTGAAGGTTTTTCATCAATTTTACTTCAGTGGTTCAGGCATGGATCCTCTGAAATTAGTGTCTTTTGTTTTATTGAAAATAGGTTCTTATTTTTTAGACAATATATTCTGATCATGGTTTCCTCTTCCTAATCTCCCATATCCTCCATTCTTCTCTACCCTTCCAACTCTATGCCTTCTCTCTTTTGAGAAAACAGAAGTGGGGAAAAAGTGGAAGAGAACAAAACAAAGAGAAAAAACAAAGCACAATAAAAACAGACAGAAAGAGAGAGGGACCATAAAACAAAAAATCACAAACTATAGTATGTTAACAAAAAGCCAGTAAGGTTTGCTGTTTTGTTTTTTTTTTTTTTTTTTTTTAAGTTTAGACAAAGCTAAAAAAAAGTACCATTGTATTTGTTTTGTATTAGCCACCTACTGCTGGGCATGGGGCCTTCCCTTCAGTGTGGTTAATATGCATTCAGTGAGATTCCATTGGAGAAAACTAATGTTTCCTTTTTGAGCAGTTGTCTATTGGAGGTAGCCTCATAGTTATAAGGGTGGGAAATAAATCATGTCTATTTCTCCCTTTTCAGCAATGGACCCCATCTGGCTTGGACCTGTGCAAGCTGTCACACTCTCTGTCTGTTCATATGTGTGTGGAAGGCATTGCTTTTTTTGCTGTCTTCCATCCCCTGTTGCTTCTAAAATCTTTCTTCTTCCTCTTTCTCCTCCACATCTCTCTGAGCCCTGAAGAGAAGGGTTTGATGAAGACACCCCACTTAGGACTGAGTATTCCAAGGTCTTTTAATCTCTACACATTGTCTAGTTGTAGGTGTCTCTTTCTGTATTTGTTCCCATATTCTGCAGGTGGAAGCTCCTTTGATGGTGGCTAAGCCAGGCACTGATCTACAGGTAAAACCTAATGTTGTTAGGAATCATTATGTTGCTACATTCCTTAAGCAAAACAGTAGTATTTGTTTTTCTTTGGTCCCTGGCTTATCTAGTCTCAGGTTCTTGGCCACCAAGGTAGTGTCAAATCCTATCAGAGAGTGGTTGCTTATACCCATAATTTTTGTGCCACTATTGTAGCAGTACATAATGAATGCAGGTCACCATGGTTTATTAAAGGGTTTATAGCTATGGTGGTCTTTACTTTCCTCCTTTGGCAGTGGTCAGAATATCTTTCAATACCATGAACACTGTTCAGTAGTGATGAAGGCTGTGGTTAGGCACCAGCTTGACTTTTCTGTGTTCATATGTGTGTGTGTGTGTGTGTGTGTGTGTGTGTGTGTGTGTGTGTGTGT